ACTTTATTTTAATATATCATTATAATAATTAAAAAAAATTTTATATTTGATTTGATTTGATTTGATTTGATTTGATTTGATCAAATTTGAATTTGATTTATTTGATTCGATCAAATATTTGATTTGATTTGATTTAATTCGAAAAAATCAAATCAAATTCAAATTGCTTCAATATTTAATTTGATTTGATTTTGAGGAATCCTAGTAATACCTGTAACTCACTGAAAATGTTGATTAGTTTCTTGAATTACATTAATACGATCAGTCGGAAGACTTTATTGTTATTAGAGTCATCTAAGTATCTATCCAGATAGATAACTTGTCTTTTACAATTAATAAGCGAGTTAATCATATTTCTTTAGTTATCCTTATAATTATAACAGCATCTTTCTAAAGCCAATTTAATTGAAGAGACCTTAAATTCTTATTTCATAAGTTTGGCATTCATAATATGAGCTTGATATAATTGGTTGATGAAATCTTTATTGTAAGAATTTGTGTTAAAGAATCCATAAAAATAATCTGAAATTTAGTAGCAATAGGTATGATTATATAGTAATAATGACTCTATTCTTCATCAAAAATATTCATAAAAATAATTTGAGAGATTTACTTTTTCTATTTTTGGATGTACTTCAAGGATCTATAAATCTTTTTAAGGAGTTTGAAACAAAAATCTTTTAAATGGTTATTTGATTATTTACTAGAAAATAGTTTTCTTTGCAGCGATATAATAATGGATTAAAGCTTATTTTAACAATAATTAATGTTTGATTTTGATTGAAGATAATTCAGATCAAAGTCTTTAATATGACTAGTTTCAAGTAATTGATTAGAGTGAGAAGTGAAATTATTCCATTTTTTCTATGATATTAGATCAGTATTAAAAGAGGTTTTCTTAATAGAAGAAATTGATCTATTATTGTACAATAGTAGATACTCTAAAGATGTAACAAGGATATGATGATCAGACAGATTAGTTGAAATAGAGAATTGTGATATTGTCTGAATTAAAGATGATGTAGCAATTAATTTCAAATTTACATGTTATAATATAAGTTAAATTAGTTGCAATATATATAAGTTAAAACTAATTGCAATGTAAGTTATAACATTAATGTTACAACATATTAATTACAGTTTTTATCTTTAATCTGAGTGACTAGTTCAGTCGAATAATACACATAATCAATTCTACTAGGTTTGCAATCAGATTGATAAAATGTCATAAGTCTAATATTTATATCATCATAACAAATGTTTACAAATTCCATTGAGCCAAGGAATGAAAGAATTGATTAGAATGTATTAGATTAGTAAGCTTTTTAAGTTCAGTATTGAGATCACCAAGCAGAATAATCTGTATGAATATATTAAAAGCTTGTTTGAATAGATTAATAATCTTATTATATAATTTTTCCTTAAGGAATTATCTGAAGAAGTAACATAAGTATTAATAATTTGAATATAAAATTTGTTTTATAATTGCAGATTTATATAGAAAATTCAGTTTCAGAATTCTCTATAGTGATAAATATAGTCGGCAATTTGTTTTTTTTTAGAATTAAACCAATACCTGTTCATTAATTATTTGAATCTAATTATATGTTAAAAAAATGCGATACGAATTGTCATGATTTATTAAATGAAACAATTGATTGGTTAGATTTGAATTTGATGTCTTGTATAATAATAATATTATATTAGTATTGTTGATATAGGTTCATTAAGAGTTACTGTTTCATAAGATAATTTAGTGAAATTATATTATAGGTGGCAATAGTGAGAATGGATGATAAGAAAAGTGATTATGTGATATTTGAGACACTAGTATTTGTATTGATATTATTCATTAAAATAATGAGGGATTAGATGAGAATTCCTCATTAGATGTGTTTATGAAGTCTTTAGGTTTATTCAAAATTCTAAAGTTGATTCTATAACTTTCATGAAGCTGTCTAATACCAATTATCAATTGTTGCATAATATCAATAGCTTTGAAAGCTTTGTTTAATTTTACGACATTCTCTTGTAAGTTGTGTTTGAGGTAAGAATTCTCTTCTTTGAGATTGTTGGTATCAATCCTATATGAGATTATTAGAGCTCTGAATAGGTCGGGTCAGATCGGATAATTGACTTGACCTGACCTGATAAGGTCAGGTCGGGTCAGACATAAAATTGACCTGAATTAAATATATATTTGATCTGATCTGACCTGATCTGTCTAAAAAAGAAAACTAAATAATTATTAATTTTGTTTAATATTTTTTTAAAAAAATATAAAAAAATATTGATACAATTTTACATTTGATTATTTTTCAAAATAAAAAATATATACTAATATAATTATTTTAACTGCAGAATTTAAAATTACAAGTTATGATAAATCTGCAAATCTGATGACTGCTAATACAATTACAAAAAACGTTTATAACTTTATATCCATTAATCAAATCATAATAAAATTTTATAGACATATATTTTTGAACCCGCTGAACAACTTTACTTACGCGACCAAAGTTGATTTCCTTTGGCCAAAATACTTAAATTGCTCTTTGAAATTACTGTACGTATAAAAAATAAAATAAAAAAATTCGTGAGATAATATAAATATGAAAAATGTACATAACTTTACAACCATTATTCCAATCATAATAAATTTGATATGAATATATTTTCGAACCCACTGAACAACTTTACTTATGCGACCAAAGTTGATTTCCTTTGACCAAAATACTTGAATTGCTCTTTGAAGTCACT